TTCCATTCACATCTCAGAAGCAGAAAGATTCCTGTCTATAAAATTCCTGGAGATGTCGATTTGTGGTTATCTCACGGCAGTGATTTTACTCGGCCTTGCTGTTTATGCTTGGCATTGCAGATACTTCCAGAAATCAATGCTGTTACTCTCCTTTCTCCTGACAGGCAGCTCCTGGGAGCTCTGTCGGTGTGTCTGTATCCTTATCCCTGTTTTCACTGCCCAGGCTCTCTGTGTGGCCCTTCCCTGAGATTGTTTCTCAAGTTCCCTGTGTAGGAAACTGCACGGGTGAGCGATCAGACACAGGTACAGCTGGAAAGGAGAGCTCTGACGTCTGCCCACGCACTCTGTGCCATGAGCTCTGGGTATGTGCGTGAAGCAGGAGCTCTGGGTCAGCACGGGCCCAGGTTTGGCTTGGCAAAGCTCATTGTGTTATAGGAGTGATGGATATTAATTAAGCTGCTTTGCCCTCCTGGGCTGCTGACAATGGTTGCTGCTAAACCAGCTGTAAATCTCTCCCTGGGGATTGTGGGTTTCTGTCAATCCTGGGCTAAAGTTAAGTCCTGAAACTTGAGGAGGGTTTGATTCCTTCAGTTCTTAGTAAAACCCTCCAGTTCTTTTCTAAGAGACTTAAGTTCATGGTTTGGCAAATGTTGTTGCTAGAAATTGGGTTTGGAGTCTAGCTCTGGGAGGATTCATCCATCCCAAACCAACCAGAACACAGGTAACTCTACAGAGAGAGGTACTGCACTAATCCTGCATTTCTGGTGCCAAATTCAGTGTGTTACACTGCACTGGAGAGCTCAGAGAAGTTCCCTCCTTTCGCTTCCCTGAGCAATTTCATTAACAGGAGTGTGAAAAAGTCTCCCCTGAGCAAAGCTGCTCACAGTGAGGCAGAGGGAACATGGCAGCGAGTGACACTTTTCCATGTGTTTGTTTTCCAGGCTCTGACCAATGTGCCTGACCTCCTCCCATGCAGATCTGGCTGCATGGCTGTGTCACCATATTCCCCAGGAAAGTGCTGGGTGGGGAAAACACTTTATCAGCTGAACTTCAGCTCTTCGGAGACCAGTGTGGGACTTCACAGCTCAGGTGCAGTCAGTGCTTAAAACTCTTTTAGTTTTTCCCCCTTCCTTTCCCAGCTTCTGTTCTAGCAGTCCAATGCAGTTTGAGGTTTGCTGTGTCATTTTCCTCCCTGAGTACTCTCTCCTTCTCCTGGAGCTGTCGCCGCCTTGTTGGCATCAGGGAGTTGCTTTCCATCGACGTCTGAGCTGAGCAGTTCATTAATGTTCACAGCATCCGTCTGGAAGCAGTCACTGGCTCCCAGGAATTGTCCCTGTGAGGATACAGGCTGAACATCTGCACGAAGCAACTTCATCTCAGGCTGCAAGTCCTGCCACCAGATCTGGGTTTTTCACCTCAAGAGAGAGGATTCTGTTTATGTGTATGCTTAATAAGGAGTTACTATTTGCCCATTAGAGAACTTTTACAGCCTGAGGTTACTCTTTTTTTTTCATTTGCCACATTACAGTGAAGAGAAGTTGTGCTCCTGCAACCTGCAAACCTCTGGAATGTCTCAAAACCACCATTTGTCATGAAAATGTGGTGCTGTTATTCAAAATGCCGTGGGAAAATCCTGATTTTATTTTATCTTTAGTGTTGCTCAGCATTTTAATTTGATCTGTATGGTTCAATTCTCCTAAGTTTTCCCTAGGCTTCCATGGTTCTGAACGTTAGAGAAAAAATATCAGTGAATTTAATGATATTTAATAAATTGTCATATTTATTTGCTTGAATATTATTACTCTTCTAAAGATCCTGTTGCTGTTTAACCTGTCATCTTGCAGAGCCAGGAGTTCCAGAGCATCTTTCCTCTGCAGGTGTTAGTCTTTCCACTTTGTCCTTCCACTTTGCAGCATTTGTGTTGAGATAATCTCTTCTAGAATTTCTTGCAATGCTTCATTTTAATACATCTTCCCTTGTCACTGCAGGACTGAATCCACCCTCCTGGTAAGTGATATCTAAATCACCACTGCAAGGAGAGGATGAGATATGTGCAGGTGAAAGGGAGGCAAAGGATATGACTGAAGAAGGAAAATTTGCAGAGTGAGAAGAAATACGGACAGGGTGTGTAAAACTGGTCATGTTCCTCACAGCTCCTGCTCACTGCTGTGGCACAGGATGTGTAAGGACACAGCTCTTTGCCTCTTGCCATGTACTGATGAGATGATCAGATGTGAGTGTGCAGTCGTGTTGTGGATGTGCATATACATGACAACTTGGGTGTTTATTGCACATGCAGTGACATCTCTGCAAACAGCTGGAAGTCCACATTTGTACAAGCTCAGCAGCTGCCTTTTGCCAACAGTGATGTTCCTGCAGCCTGTACAATGCTGAGCAGTCTCCTGAATGCTTCATTGTTGCTCTTCATGGTGACTGCTCAGCCTTGTGCATTTGGATGAGGCTATTTGAAAGAGAACAAAACAGGAGCATGCCTGGTTTCCCCAGGCAGTAACAGCACACTGGGGCAAGCAGCAGAGCCAGCAGTAAAACCGGTGAGTGTAAATCACTCTGAGCCACCTGTGGAGGAAATGGGGAGAGTGGGATGAGAGCTGATGGTGGGACACAGGAGGGCAAACGTTCAGCTGTGGAAGGACCCACTTGTGTGGCTCCACACTGTGGAGGGGAGCTCTCTGAGGGGCCTGGGGTGGGCTGCAGAGCTGCTCCATATCTCTTCCCTGCTGTACAGGCCCTACAGTCACTATCTTGGTCAGCAGCTGGGCTGAATCTTCCAGGGGAGATGATTTTTGACTTCCCTCTGCTGCTCCAGCCTCTTCAGAGGAGCTAATGTCATTCACAGAATCATAGAGTAGTTTGGGCTGGAAGGAACATCTAAAGATCATCTATTTCAGCCCCTTGTTTTGGGACTAGACTGTCACCAGCACACTAGGCTCCGTCCAGGCTGAGTGTGTGTTAAATAAAATTAGAGCTCATAGAGCATTTCTGTGATGGGACTGCTCTGTTGGGCCTCAGCACATGCTGAGGGACTCAGTGAGAGCACTTCACTGCTGCTGCAAGAAAACACCTTGGTATAGAAGAGCATCTTAAGACTGTTTTTGCTGCCTTCTGCATTCCCATTGGACATCTATCCCCAAACTCACTGTGGTGGCAGCAACTTTCTCTGACTTTCAACCTGAACATATCGGCTTGTTTGTTCCTGTGCCAACATTGTCCCTGAACCCAAGCAGGTCTCATCTCCCAGTTCTCTCCCTCTTGTCTCCCTCTCCCTCTCCTCTTTTCTGTTTGTGGAGCATGATCCTATCTCTGTTGCTCTATGTTCCATGAGGCTGAACACGCCAGCCCCTCTCCATTTCCCCACCCCTTCCAGCAGCCCTTTGCTACCTGGTTTTCCCTGCT